TAAATTAAATGTAATTTTTAATAAATGTTGGCATCAGTAGTTTAATTATATATTCTAAAATAATTAGAGCAATAAACAACTGTGTTACTCATTTTTCTCGCCAAAAACTCAATTTCCCTTTTCTTTACGTAACACTTGAACGCATCATGATAACCTAATTGTCGTTTTACTGAGCCAATCTGAACACATCATCACCCTAGCACATCTGAAACTTTATTTACTTTTCAAGCTAACTAGCTTGTATGCTGCCGATTACAACACGGATTTCACAATTACTATTGAAATAATAAAAAAAAAACGACCAGACTCGATAGTGGTATCGATAAGCCCAAACGTTATTGATTTTCGGGTTTTGAAAAAAGTGGAACCGGGTCCTTGATAGAACCGGGTTTCGATCCCCATCCCTATTTGTCACCAGCGTCTAAAGAAAACATTAAAGATCTCAGAATTCTCCATGTGATTGGCTACCTCGACACTTGTTGGTCTTGCAGTGGTCCTTGAGCTTTGAGCAGGTTTTACCCTCGTAGTCATCTGGGCAGCTGCAGTAAAAGTCACCCTTCTGGCTGTGGCACTGGGCCTTGTTGTGACAGGGGTTCGGGCTACAAGGATCGTTTTGCGTCTTCGGAGTAAAAAAGCAGAAAATTAGACACATTTCTCTCTGTAAAAAAATCTATTCCAGCAAGTCGAACGCGGTCCTCACCTCGCACGTTGTGCCACTGAAACCATGTGGGCATTCGCACATAAACCCATCCAGCAGGGCATGGCAGCGGCCGCCGTTCTTACACGGACCGCTGGAGCAACTGTTTCTCTGAATCTCACAGTGCCGGCCCGCGAAACCCGATTGACAAACACACTGGTAGCCTCTGGTCATATCCTGATTAGAAAAGAAGCCACAGGGTTCACAGTCAGTAACAACACTGCCAATAAACTTATATGCTGACTATTATCCTTCTTCAAAGAAGAAATTGCGAAACACTTATTGCTGTCATGCATTTGGATTTTAGACAAAACTTGAGCACATTATGAAAATAAGTATATGCCGTTCCCCACTCGCATGGGGAGATGTGGGTATTCTGAAAACTGCAAAATAATCTTTTGAACCAATGACAATTAAAGTAAGTTTAAAGTCCAAACCATAAATTCAGAGATGCCCCCCCCCAAGTGACAGCAGTCTCCAATATGATGCATTTTTTTGTAAAATTTCACCTTAAAAAACATAAATATACTATACTATTGCATTATAAGCTATGTTTCAGGGAAAACCAGACCACTTCATTTCAAAAGCACTTTCGTCTACATGAACCCAAAATCTTTTATCTTTATTTGCGGGAAAAATATCATTATTCAAAAACATACAATCTCCTTGTTAAAAGTTGAGTTGTAAACGTGACAACGAGCGAAAAATACCTTACACCGAGTCTCACCTTGCAAGTCCCTCCATTTTGACACTGTCCGTGGCAGCTGTTCATATCTGTGAAGAAATCGGAAAAATGTAAAATTGATTTTGACGAAAAAAAGCAAGAAAACAGACATAAGGGGTGTAACAAGCAGCTGCTACGGGAAAGTGGCCGATACAGTCAAAGCAGAGTTATTCATGCCTGAAAGAGATGCAGAGTCAGAGGTGCGGATTAACTATGAGGCTGTGCGCTAAGACCGAACCGCTAAAGATTTTTACAAAGTTTGACAGCTTGGAGAAAAAGATTGTTTTAGTCTTACAGCCTAGAGCAGTTACCCTGGATGTGGCAGGTATGAACAGAAATTACAGGTGTGAAAGAGACTGAAAACGGAGTCAAAGCCCAGCACACTTGACTGACTAGTTTCTCTTCCACTTGCATTTGTGACTCATTTTCTCTTCCTTTGAAGCAAAGATATCTTCAAGAGGTTTATATCTATACAGAATATAAGTGATATCTCATATTTTGCTGAACAGAGGAAGCTGGGTATCTGCAGATGAGCAATGCTTACAGGGTAATGATTTCTGGAAACTTCCTAAAGATTAACTGACTTAGCTTAAAAACATGGACAGCAAACAGAGATTTTCTGTTTGATAGGAATGGAAGAGAGGCTAGTCAGTTAGGGGGTGGGTTCCAGTTCCGAGTGATGCGAACAGGTGTAAAAGAGACTAAGGATTTTCTGGATTCATACTAACTGAGGTCACAGTTCTGGCCCACCCATCCACGAAAGCAGGCACAGTGATATCCACCAATCAAGTTTTTGCAAGAGTAAGCATTGAGGCAAGGCTTCCCTGCACATTCATTAATGTCTGAAAAAGTGGAGATGAGAGACAAAGACACTGAATGAGAGCTAAGAACCTGATCAGAAGACCCATCACCAAGTATAGCTTCCAATTAAAACATCCCACCACAAAATAAGGCCAGACGGTTTTACATTTTTCCAGACCCCTTTGCAAAAATGACTACAGATATTATACTCAAGCCACAACACGTTACTTGGTGCTAAGTGGTTATGTTGACTTGTGTTACAGGCTTGATTTATGGTCAAAACCACATTTTAAAATCAGATTGAGCACCTCTACTTGGTAGACACCTTATGGGTTTTGTTACCTTATGAATTGTAAAATTTTATCTGATGTCATATGGTTTTTCATTCAAATTACAAGGTTCGTCTTCAGACATGAAGTTCAAGTCTGAAGAGACGTGAAGACGTGACCTGCATGTCTGAAGAGGTTTTATTTCTTTGAATTTTCCATCCAATTCCCCCTCACGCGGGGTGAATGTCCGTCTATTGCATTTCCCGAAAGCCAACCTGTGGCATTCCGAGCGGTCAGTTTCAGAGGCATCACTCGCCGCACCGCCTCGCCCACCATAACCAACACAGTGCATTAATACTACTCCCAGGAGGTAAGTGACACCTGTTAGGCTGATGAAATGAAACACCCTGAACCCTTTCCCGAAGCCCTCCACCCTCCACCTCCCCCCGACCCCCACTCTGTCTGCTCTCGCTCCTTCACAGGTACCAAAAGGGAAGCGGTCCAAGAGCAGGAGCTACTGCTTTTTCCTTTCCCCCCTTTCAAATGTTTACAGGTTACAAAGTGTTTCCTGGACTATTAGAAAGGGGGTGACGGGTTCCACCGTGCTGAGGCGTTGCCTCACAGTGGTGTACGCACTCCGCTGTTATGCCCTGTCTGGAGCCAAAGATAACCCCCCAGTGGAGTATATTTGGTCCCAAGGCAAGCAGTTGCCAGGCGGGAGGTTATTTTTAGCTTTACTCAAGTCACCTGGCTCGTGTTGCAGATGATATCCAGCCAATGTCTCCACCGAATGTGTGTATACCAAAACACACGCACTTTTAAAATGAATTGGCCCCTCTCGCAGCAATGCTGATACTTAACCAACCAGCAGTTTAGTGCAATATCGCTAGGGAATAAAAGGCTCACCAAACAGCCTGAAAACTGGTAACTCAGCAAAAAAGCTAGTTTAGACACTATGCAATCACAAATCATCCACCATCCATCCATCCTTTTGCTATACCACTTATACCTAGTAGGGTTGTCACGATACTAAAATTTTCAACTCGATACCGATACTCAGGAAAATACTCGATACTCGATACCATTTTCGATACCACAAGGATAAAAACAAAGACCCCAAAATTTAACTGAATTTTGACAGGTTAGTGTCTTTCATTTGAAACTGACCTGTTACTGATTTTATCGTGGCTGGTGGCCCAAATTAATTACCCTATTCCTAACTCTAACCCTGACCCTCCCCCTGACCCTAACCCTCCATCCTTCATAATTGTGAGAAATAAATATTTTTTGGTTAAACTTGTTTGGACTTATTGTACAAACCTATTTAACATCCACTATTTTAACATAATATTATGGATAGAGTTTAATTAACTCATTCGCTGCCAAAGACGTCTATAGACGTCTTTTCAAATCCGACCGTTCGCTGCCAAAGACGTCTATAGACGTCTTTTATGTTTTTCAATTGCGAGTGACTTGGGGGACGATCGGCGAAAGTTTTTCCGTAAATATCGGCTTCTAGACAGAGTATGGACTAACAAATTTACCCTCTAGGTAGCTGTGCCACTTTTGATGGGAGATTAGCATAGATTGTAAGCAAATAAAAACAAACGCAATGGTTCGCTATGAGAGAAATGGCGCCGGTGAGACGCACGTCGAAGAAGAACGGAATAAGGTAGAAACAAAATTTTTTTTCCTGATGATAGAAGAGAGTCTCCTCTTTCTTTTGGTGTGTTTGGTGTTTACATAGTCAAAGCACAAACTATTCTGTGGCTCTTGAAAAATCTGTCAAAATTCTCAAAAAACTCTGGCAGTGAGCGACTCTCTGTTCTGAAAATGGCTGGCAGTCAATGAGTTAAGTGTTTGAAAGATTAATTTCACTATTTTTAAATTAATGTCTATATTGCCATGAGGCATTACTATTTTCTTGCCTGGGATTTCCCTTTTGGTGACGTAATCAAAATGGCCGATTTGGATGTGGGCTGAGACGGATATGTACTTGATTAATGGTAGCATGTTATTATTAGCCATTAGCCGCAGCTAGTAGTTCAAGGCTAACATCACGTTAATGATCATAAACAACGTAAATAAATACATAAATAAATCTGAAAGAAGGGGCGCAGCGACGGCAGGTCAGCGTCGCGCGCGCGCATGCGCGGGCTCGCGCGGACTCGCACGGGCTCGCGCGCGCATGCGCGGGCTCGCGCGGACTCGCACGGGCTCGCGCGGTGGTATCGATACTTTTGAAAATGAGTATCGTATCCGGATACAACATTTTAGTATCGATACTTTTTTAAGTATCGATACTTTTGACAACCCTAATACCTAGTAGGGTCAAGACAATCCCAACTGATATTGGCCAAGAGCCAGGGGTTGGTCACCAGTCCATCACAGGGCAACACAGACACAAACAACCACGCACAGAGATACACTGATAGAATCTTTATGAAAGGAAACTATCCATCCATCCTTTTTCTATACCGCTTATACCCAACAAGGTTGTAGGAAGCTGGAGGCTATCCCAGCTGACAATAGGCGATAGGCACCAGGCCGGACAGAGTTAAACAACAAGACAGATTCAAATTCACACTCACTCCTAGGGGCAAATTGGAGTTTGCAATGAGCCTAACATGCACGTTTTTGGACGGTGGGAGGAAGCCGGAGTACACGGAAACAACCTAGGCAAACAGAGGCCCATGCAAACTCCACACAAAAAGGCCACCAGTTCCAAGGGGATTCAAACTTTTGCTGTGAGGCAACAATCTTAACTGCCACACCACCATCATCCAATCCAACATGCAACAGGTTTTAATAGTATGAGGACACATATTGCCACGTAACCTTTCAGAGACGTTGAATTTTCATTGGCAAATAAATCCCAAAATAGTCAAATTACTAAATTACAGTCTTTCTTTGCATGACAATACACAGCAGGGAGAATAAGAGACGTACCGATCTGGCAGGTTTTGCCTGTCCACTGCGGAGGGCAGAGGCATTCGAAGCCATTCTCCATGTCGATGCAGGTCCCACCCTGAGCACAAGGGCTGGATGCGCATTCGTCCGTGTCTGTAATATTCAGCATAGATGTTAAAGACAATTACTGAAAACACCCCCAACCGGCCGAGACAGATGGCCGCCCACCCTGAGCCATGGTTCTGCTCAAGGTTTCTGCCTGTTAAAAGGAAGTTTTTCCTTGCCTGTGTCGCCTAGTGCTTGCTCATGGTGGGAATTGTTGGGTTTCTGTAATTAACTTCAGAGTAGGGTTTGACCTGCTCTGTTTGGAAAGCGCTGTGAGACAACTGTTGTTATGATGTGGCGCTATATAAATAAAATTGAATTGAATTGAAAAATTGAATATGATACACTGCAGTTTTGCTTCATATGAGAAATGGAAGAAAATACTTTCTTATATTACTACTTCATGTTTAATGTTCTTTGTATGATCTAAGGTTACCAAACTTTTGCTTCTCACCTTTTGCGCACGTCGGCCCAGACCAACCGGCAGGACAATGACACTCAAACCCCGACGGGACTTCATGGCAGGTCCCTCCATTGGCACAGGGGTTAGACACACAGGCATGCTCCGCTTAAAAGAAAGCCATACATTTAGCATTTTATTCAAACAAATTCTCATTAATTATTCATTGTTGTGACACAAACATAATTTAAAGTTACCAATCTCGCAGTTTTTCCCAGAGTAGCCGTCCGGACATGCGCATTTGTACTCATCTGGCTCTGTGTTCATGCATGTTCCTCCGTTCTTACAGGGCCGATTGGTCCCACAGTAATTCAGATCTGGGAAGGAATCAACAGAAATCCTCGATCATACTTCAGCTTTTGGTCAATAAACCTAAAAAAGTACAACAACCAAACACAATAATCTAGTCGCAAAGGATTCCATTATGTGGTAAAAAAAATAAAACAATAACAGTGCATAAAAAGCTTCAACCAAAACATTCCATGTTGCAGATTCCCGTATCGCAGATTCAGGCTTCGGTTTCTCTTGCAACTCTTTTGGCACAAGGCAAATCACACTACTTGTACGGGATTTTAAATATTTAATCCAGGACAAAATATGTCTATGTTGCTTTTGGTGCACCCTCAAAGCCTGAAACTGAGTCTCACAATACATTTTATTTACATAAATTCAGCTGAAAAGTGTTCCTGTTTATATATCATAAAGTCACAGGGTTAAAAAAAAAAAAACAGGACAATGCCAAAATTAAAGTTAGAATTCACTTTTTGTAGTAAGGATACAATTAAAATTCTCAAACTTAGAAAAACACTTCTATAAAGTCACATACAAAAACATCCGCCGTCTAAATTAACTTGATAATGTGATACAGTGAACCTCAAAAGAAGTGTCTGACATGCTTAACTACTGTCAGTAAAAAGCCCATTCAGGTTCTGACCTTTATCACAGAGCAGGCCACCCCAGTTCTTCTCACAGTTGCACTTCCAGGGCTCACTGCAGGTGCCATGGACACAGCCGGGGTATGGCAAGCACTCATCACACAACTGGCCCTGCCAACCGTAAGAACAACTGCAACACAAAGACAATTTTTCTTCAATTATTAATGGTTCATTGTTTGAGTTTACCTGATCTTCATAAGGACTCTTAGAAAAGCAGGATAGATTGTTGATGCTAGTCTTATTTTTTTAATCAACATGCTGTAAATTAAAATAAAAAAGAGATTGAATGTTGTGTGTATTTGTCAGTAACCAAAAAAAATATATCTTTGTGTCATAACAAACTTACAACATATTTATTCAAGGAGTCCAGACAATAACTGTATCAATAGCCCCTTTAATACTTTTACATGAAGTAATACTTTGCCAGCTAAACGAAACTGCTTCAGCTCCAAAAAGGGAATTTCAAACCCTTCAGAAAACAAAGCTTGGCCATGAAGAACGAATCTCAAGGGGAAAAAAAGGGTGAGAACGCACAAGCAAAATGCTGACTGAGCAGAACGTCATAAAAGTAATCGGCCACCTTAACGCCTTCATTGATGGGAAATTGCGTGTCTTTCTGAAGCTTTTAATCTTATGACACACAGCACTCGGAGGCACCGCTGAATACACAGTTTATGTGAGTCTGTATATTTCTTAGAAAAAGAGAATCATGTATATGAATTCAAAGATAATTATTTTTGCCATTATGTTTTTGGACTTAAGGGAAACAAGGGGAAATTAAATGCACATTTATGAATCTTTAAAAAGATATTGTATTTGTGAGATGTTAATCGTGTAGTTTCTGGAGTGATAATATTACATTGTGGAGCTGAAAATGCCTCTTACTAAAAATACAATTGTTTCATAACATGAAACATTTCATAACATAACATTTTTCATAAGAGATGTTTAAGCTTCACGTGTTTTATATGTGGTTTTGTGTACTTTTACAAGCCAGTTCCGTCCTCTGTCTGTCTCCAAAGTACAATTTTTTTAAAATAAAATATCAGCATTAAAACTTTTAAATCAGGTGTTAGGTAGTTGAAAAAAACAAAACAAGCTGTGACTCGTCATGTGTTGCATGCCTTCTCAAAAGCCTTCTCTCTGTGTCGCGAGCCGAGTTGAGGTCAAGCTTGGAATGAGCGGCTGGGTTTGTGGAACGAGGGGTTAGTCGTCTTGAAGGGGGGAGGCCCTCGGAGGGGTTAGCTAATCTGTTGGTTTATGGCAGCATTCTGTTATTCCAAGGCCAGCCGTAACCTTGCCCCCACCTGTCCTGTCATTTCTCCCCCGTCTGACCTATTTTAAGGAACAACCTACCTCCCACTCAAGCCGCCGCCACCCCCCCAACCCCTCCATCTCTCACAAACACTTGAAAATAGATGCCGATCAAACGGCGGTGATATACTACTCTGTAGCGAGCTGTAATGTGCTGTAGTAAGCTGTGTGGCTGGAGATGGTGACAGAAAAAAGGGGAAAAAAGCGGTTTAGACCTGGTGTAGAACTTTCCACACAGCCAAGAAAACTGTAAAATGCCAAAAGCATATGGAGTTTGATGAATATTCTGGTTTAAATTCCCATTCAAACGCTTCCGAAATGTTCAATTTCAACTGTATTTTCTTTAAGATATTGTTTAATGTGGACATTTGAGTTTTAAAAACCTTTTAACATATACAGTGGGGGAAATAAGTATTTGACCCCTTGCTGATTTTGCAGGTTTGCCCACTTACAAAGAATGCTTATTTTTCCTCATCAGATGGTTATCAATTTTTATAAATTCATATGATGTGATTTTCTGGAATTTTCTTTAGGATTCTGTCTTTCACTGTTAGAATGTACATATGATTAAAGTTATATATCATTGCATTCTTTGTAAGTGGGCAAACCGGCAAAATCAGCAAGGGGGTCAAATACTTATTTCCCCCACTGTAGGAAAAAAATATTTCATATTTCCTCCCTAAATGCACAGATATTAACAAACATATAGACCATCATCCCATGAGTAATGTTTGGGTTGACTTCAATTAAAATGTGACAAATCAAACAGTGATAATCACTGAGCCAGTGCAAAAATCCAGTTAAGTTTGTTTTAACGTGTCACTAAAAATAAAAAAACTGCATGTGTGACCACACATAGCTTTAATCTAATCATGTGTGTGTGTGTGTGTGTGCGCCACGGGGCTGTGCAATGTTTACTGCTGTACGCGCCGTCGTCCAGCTCTGCGGTCAGCGGCCGTGCCCTGCACACTGTCAGCCGTGCAGTGGTGTGGACAGTCTGTCTGGCCGCAGCACGGGAGAGCATTGGGAAACGGTTTCGGTTCTGCCACAAGCCAAAGGGGGTGGCATAGCCCACAAAAAAACACAAAAACCCTGTCGCCGGGCTGCTGCCGTCCCATCAACCAAGGGGGGCCAGCCAAAAAAGCAGAAAATATCCCGCCTGCCCACAACGCTGCCCCTTAAGACTGACCACACCCAGAGGACAGAGGATGGTGGGAAGGGGGCAGAGGGTAGAGGGGGGGCCGGTTGGGAAGTGTGTGTGTGTGCATGCGAGACCGCTGAATTATTTACGGGCAAGAAGTCTCGCACCCAAATCCAGCAGACGGACTTAGCCTGCTGTTGCCTAGCTACACGTTTAGTAGTGTCACATGAGGGAGCGTAGGTTGTGAATGCGCTGTGTGTAAGAAACAAGATACCAAACACACAATTTTAGTTTTCCCTCTGCCAGGCGGAGACACACTTTTTTTTTTTTTTTTACCCGTTTTGAACAGTTTCTTTTTCTTCTTCTCTCATTTTTCTTTCTGTCTTTAACCCCTTAGCCCATTTCTCTTGATTTTTTTAATCCTTTTTTAAACTGTCCAACAGCAAATTCACCCATAAAAATATATATATATATATATCTAAAAACTTGTTTGCATAACTTATTATTTTGCAGTTTGCAATTTTTCATCAGCCCTTTAACATTGAAGCGCATTTTTATCTAATGTTTAACAAGCAACTTTGAGACAATTCACAAGTTGGTGGATAATTGGTCGACCTGAATTGATTGTGACAGTTAGTTCCTCTACATCCTGATGGAAATGTTAGTGTTTGAATGAAATCTTTACTTTATCTGTACTAAAAAAAAAGAAAATCTTATTTATTTCCTACTCTGCTTCATCAGGATCTTTCTCTCATGAGTTCATAATTTCAATAAAGAACTGCATGTTCGCTCTAGTTTCGTTGGATTGGTGATGTAATGGCTTTACAATGATTCGGATTCAACCCCAAAAAATTGAATATGAATAAGGTATTCTCTATTCTTTCTCAGCGCAGCGTGCACATGTGTGTGCATGCGTGAGTCCCTGACAGCAATGAAACTCTAAATCACGTCCAAACACATTCCAGGGTGTTCCTCTCTCTGTTGATCCTTTCAACGAGAAATGTCGTTGTTTTATGAGCTTTCAGATGAATCAAAACCTGCATCCTTAAGGAACCTTAATGTTCCTCCCCCCTTTTCCCCTGGCATTTCCCAGCACTGTGCACTGGGTGTATGAGTAATTGTGCATCGGTGTTCAGCTCGACTTTGTTAAGATCATGCTCCACTGGGTCAACATTTTTGCCTCTAATCAAAACTAGCTTCATCATAGCTTCCATACTAAATTCCTGTTAAACATTTTATAAGAGAAGTCTACAATGTGTCTATATTGCACTTGTGCGTAATACTTAATTTACACTTCATACTGTGTTATATCTCATTTCACAGCCTGCTTTCACAGCTGTCAGATGACTCAATTTTTAAACGTCTTATGTGTCTTTCATGTCAAATTTTGTCTGGCCATTTATATGATTTGTAGCTGCTAAATAAGTGTCCAGAATATCTTTTTATAATCATGTTTTATATATATGATTTTTTTTGGGAGGGTGAATCATTTCTTGAAATCATTTTCTTGAATAATGCCAACTTAAGAAAACACTCCAGACTGAAAAAAAAATTGAATTATTAGGTCTGCTCTCGAGCAAAAAACATTCTCATTAGCACAGATCCTGGTTAACACAGCTGTATGATAATGATCGTAACAATTAGGCAATGCTGGCATAGAAGAAAAGGTGCATCACTTTTAATGGAGCCAAAAAAAGGTAATGAGTGAAAGCATTACCTTGCTCCCTATTGTTAGAGATGCAGGGGCGGTTTTTGCTCTGGGTGAAGTTGGAAAAAAGGTTCTAAGAGTGCAACACTGCGCGAAGAAAATGTTTAATTTCAGCTCATTTCCACGCGAGTTATCGTACGGGGTGGGCAGTGGCCGCACCACCACTCCCTTTTCCCCCTTTTCTGTTTTTTTTTTTTCTGTTCCGTTACCTTGCTGCTGCAGCTGCTGAGAAAAGTCGGTGTGGCAGTCAGCAGCTGCCTGTGCTGGAATAAGGGCAAGGAGGAGGGCGATGGGGGATGTCAGGCAATTAAGCCTAGTCACAAACACTCCAAATAAATTGTATTTAAACAACGTTTTGGTCACATACACTAAGTGTATTTTTATTTTGTTGACATACCAACATGTGTGAAAAAACATAGGAGTGGGGTATCTTTCAAAATCAAGATAATTTCCAGGATTTTATTGGCCTTTTAAACTTGGAGAGTTCAGATAAGTTAATACTTCTGAGTAATTTTACCAATATACTTTTACTTCAATACTATTTAATACTAAAGGTAGAAATTTAAGAAACCAAAAGCAGTGTCTCCCGCAAAAAAGCTAAATAGTGCAAAACCCCAATATCTTACTCAGTTTCTTTTTGGCATGTTTTAATTCCAGTGTACAGGAGTGCACAGGACTATAAAGGTATCTCTTTATCTTGTCCATCATCAATTACAGTCCACATAACAGTTTTTACTATCATTACTGTAATCAGAATAATAGACCACAGTGGTTGTGGAAGTAAATAAGATGTAACTTAACTGAAAATATATAAATGACAAAGTAAACAATGTTTATAACCTTGTTTCTGGGTTTGGTCCAATGAATGAGTTTCCTGTATCATTGAGAATCAGCAACAGTGTAGTGTTTTTTTTTTCTTCCGATGTGTGAAGTGTTTTGTCCCACTTTCAGCTTTCAAGAAGCAATATTAATTAATTAATAGGATTTATTGCCAAGGTATGGACAATACTAATTGTTCACAACAAATTAGCTCATTTTTAGACTAAATGTTGACTATATATACTTGATAATTCAGTGGAAAAAAGCTACAATGGAGTACCCCCACCATGCCCCCTGTTTCTTCACCCCTCATTGGGTGGAATCCACACTTCCTAACAGGAGAGTGCCAGTCATAACAAGGTCTGGGATAGGAAGAGGTGATGTGGGTTGCAGACATTGGAAGGAGGAGTGCAAGGGGAGGAAACGTGCAGAAGAAACAACAGGCCTGTCTGTGTGTGTGTGTGTGTGTGTGTGTGTGTGTGTGTGTGTGTGTGTGTTTGTGCGTTCGGGCAGGAGCAGGCTAGCTTTAGAACAGGAAGTCGAAACAATAGCCTCTCGAGTGGACCTGAAGGATGGAGGTGAAGGAATGGGGGGTGGGGATGGAATGGGATTGGTGCCCCCCCCCCCCCCCCCCCCCCCGAAATCCCTCATCACTCTGTTATATCACAATTGTTATTAGCTTTCCATCCAAACAAGATCATATTTTACATAACCGGACAGCAATTATGTGAGGAGAACAGAGTGTACATGCGGTTCATAAAAACAAAAACAAAACTAAAGCTGACTTACATGCATTCCCCTGGCATGTTGCATGTTCCGTGCAAGGGGCTGCATCCTTGTTTGCAGATTGCTTTTGAAGTGAGAGAGAGAGAGAAAAAAAAAAGTGACAATGTTGATGTTAAAATCTTCATTTTAGGAGCATTTTTAATATTCAAAAACAAGAAGACTTACGCTAAAACCTAATTTCCTGTCGTTTTCTCGTTTGCGATAAGGCACAGAGGCTTTGATGTGGCAACAATGGCTGGAAAAAGTAACCGACAGAGTCGAGGGGCACATTCAACAGTGACAGGAGTTTCCGACCATTCCTGAAATTCTTTCGAAGTGACACTTCACGTGAACCTCCGATTATTTACTACTGTCTTCCAAAGTGGGCAGTAAGGAAGATCATGTGTCCGTCCCATTACAGAGAGCATGTACGTGTAGTTTTCAGAGAGAGATCTTTCCTTATCTTACTAATGTTCTTTATTTCCAAGATTTTGAAAACTAAATTGTGGACAAGGGGTAAGTTATTTCAAGGTGTCCCGGGCATCATCTTGTATTTTATGGTTTGACTGGTGTCTTGCCTTACCTGTTTTACAGTCCGGTCCTGTCCAGCCCTCCATACACTCTCTGTTTCCAAGTTGGTCACACACATAGTGGCCAAAGTAGTCGTTACGGGGACGGCACACTTTGTTGCATTTGCTGCCGTAGTAATGTTCGTCGCAGCGTACACGGATGGTGTACTCGATGTTAGCGACTAGACTTTTATGCTCCACCATTTGCTTCTCATCTCCAGGGTTGATCATGCCTTTGTAGATGCTGCGGTCAATGAGAAGCTCGTCATCTGAAAAAGAAAGGAACAGGTGTATTAAGATATGTGAAAGACTTTGCTTTTGTTTTCTATCCCCTCGTCCTGACCAGCATCAGTGGCAGACAATGCTAACAGAATCAGTCTATGGACTGTCTTTGAATCAACCTTTGTCAACATTTTTTTAAAGTAGACACTGATTTATGGGCTTTGTATGTCTTTGTATGTCATTCCCAGCACAATGATTTTTTCTTAGTGCCAACTGCATTGAAAGGAAATGTAGAAGCCCCGAAAAGAATCCCTGTGGAATACCAAGAACGACTTTTGGCAGTAGGTCCATTACAATCTCAGACAAACTAAACTGTCTGCTAAACTGTTTAGAGAATTTACTGATTGGCCACATTTTGAAAAAAAAAGAAATGCGGAATCTAGATCCCTGTTAACATTAGAAGTGTGACTTTTATTTTATCATCATATCATCCTTCTACTAGACAACATAACATCCCATATTTACCCTATGCTATTAGCTAAGTGTTCAACATAAAAAATAATTTAAAAAAAAATAAACTTTTTTAAAATAGACTACAGTTGACAATGACATTCCAGGAAACAGCTGATTTCAGTTGTGGAATTTAACCTCCCTCTAAATCTGGTGTTTGATGAAATGAGATCCTGCACCAAGCCATGAAGAACGCTAGTAGCTAGGTCAGATCAGATGAGAGGTGTAAGATCTAGTTAAACAACACGCTGTTCCACAAGACGGTAGAGGAAGAAAAAGTGGAGGAAAAGGGTCAAAGAATAGGAAAATTAAGAAAACACAAACAGAGGGTGTACAGGCGAGGTCTGCGAGGGCTTGATAACTGAAATGCTGTTTCAGTTTTCCTGCTTGGTGAAATGCTTTTTTGCCTCCCCCGCCTCCTCCTTTTTCAGGATATCCAGCCTTGACTCCATCGGAGCCAGGCCGGAAATAATAAGAGACGAGGAACAGGCGAGGAAGCGCAACATAGGAAAGACCCCTTTAGCTTTTTCTCAAGGAACAGAAGCACCATGACCTAGTCAGTGCTGCTGCTGCTGTTATTTTCAGAAAAGGGGTTAATAAGACCTAAGCTACGAATGGACACTCATCCTCACTGCTGTCTGCCTGGATCAAGCATCAACATAGCTTGGGTTGGCAGGTTAAATCCACAGCTCTACCAGCGTTGAACAAGGTGGTCTCATCTCAGGCTGTACGCATTTTCCCTTTCTGACGTCTATTCCCTCGTGATTACATATTTTCATTGCGATGTAAAACTGTGTAACTCTCAAACACCTAAGTTAAAAAAATAAGCTTTGTGACTGGAACGCTTTCTAATAATCCCAAAGGGGTTTAAAAGGTTTGTATAGCTGAACCCGTAAATACTTAATCCTTCAAATTATGTGGAAAATTCCGCGTCACCAAATCTGGAGGTATAAAGTTACAATAGAGAGTAATGGCCCATGAAAATGAGCCATCTACAGTACATGCCTTAACAACCAATTACTGATCCCCATTGTTGATCTTTTTGAGTTTGTCTTTGTTTTTTATTATTTTATTTTCCTTCCCTCCAGCCTTTTTTTTTGTTAGTTTTAGTGTCTATATACTTATCACATAAGCATTTCTTTTCTTGCTCACTCAAATGTTGCCACAGACCTCACCCTGTCAATTTGCATCTTTTTATTGGCAAATATACTGGTACAGCACACTTTCCGTACAATACAATTCAAAATGCTTTACATACAAAATAATGCCTTAAAGAGTAAGATTTTAAAAGCAGAACGTTAAGAATAAGTTCAACTATATAAACAATTATTTAATTAATAGATTAAAAGTGAAGAAGGCAGATAAAATACCTTCAGTTGTCTTATGCACAGCTAAATAGAAATGCCTTCAGCCTGTGTTAAACACTTTACATCTTTTAGCAAAATTTCTTCTTCTAAAGAGTCACAACAGAATGAACAAAAGCTGAAAGCATAAAGCCATGTGACACACATGCTCAGTGATATTCACTAACTCCTAATAGTCCATTGTGTATTACTTTTGATGTACACTAAGTAGGCCGTACAGCGGTGTGGTGGTTAGTACCGCTGTGTCCCAGCAAAGGGTTTTTGACTCGAATCCCTGGTTGATCAATTTCTGTGTGCTTTTAAAATAAATACATTTTTAAAAGCAAAGAAAAACTGACCAAACTACAGTAACAAATCCTTAATGTATTAACAGATACTAATATAACCATTGGGGTATTTTCTCAATTTCATGTGTGAATATTTGCAGCTTTGTGATACAGTAAATACACATATTCAGAAATCATATTTAGTCTTAATCACTTAATTGTAATCTAAACCTATTATTTAGTTGCCACTTATGTGCTTTTTGAGTAAACAAATAAAACTCTTTCGGGCGCATACAAAAATTTTTTAATTTCAATGTGATTAGGAGAATTACTAAAGTTTGAACCTATGCAGAAGACTGAAAGGCTAAATCTCTGAGAAATACATTTCCAAACTGTCCTGATTTACTGAGTCTCACTGCGACTTAACACACTGCCACAGATTTTAGTCCCACACCCACCACCTGAAACACCCAGGCACTCACTCACTCACTCACTCACTCACTGCTGTTCATCTCCAGCAATTAGATATAAAAATATAGACCAATCATGAGCTCCCTCTGAAGTGGAGGAGACATGATATGAGAGGCCGTTGTTACTAGGGAAAACAGGAGAGAGAGGGGGGGGGGGCACTTAAAACTAGCTTATATAAACAACAAGGGGCTTCATTTCTGAGCAGCTGATCCTGTCAATGGTAGAATTATTGTCTGGGTTTCTTTTTTAAATACAAAGAGTGACCGAATGATCTCACAGTGTCGTTTTTCAGGCATTGTGCAAAAAGGCAAGGTTGATCCTTGACCTTTTTTACAGATTATTGCTTGTAAGACCGCTCGTCTTTGGACTGAAGTCAAGGTTTTTTTCCTTCAAATAACATCAGATGTGTTTTTTGGCATTACAATCAAATCGATATGGTCAGAATATTTGTTCTAAAGACTGCAAGTTTATTGGAAAACCTTTTAAAAAATCTAGACACCCCTGACAATAGTCAAGGCCACAAGTGCACTTGGGTATTTTTCTAGTGTACATTTCAATTTCAGTATAAAAAATCTAATTTAAACACAGCATTGTGTTGATAACAAAAGGCCTTAAAGGAAAGTGAATTGACTTTTCTAACTTCTTGGCAGGTCGAGACTAAACGTGACCTAGCTTACCAGGCATGAGAAGTCAAAACTAAAATTTCACTCGTCAAAAGACTCACTCTGCATCTCGTATCATTTTTCACTGTCACTTCGGTAATGAACCAGGTGGGTACTGATGTGTAAAACAATTCGGTGAGCTGAGAACAAGAAGCGGTGCCAGGATATTGCTCATCCATTGCAATGATTCAAACATAAGAATCTGGTTGTCGAGGTGATCCCGTGTTTTGCAAGAGCATCTTCCTTCAGGCTTTGACCCTCTGTTTGTCATGCTCTGCTTTCTCATGGCAGATGTAATCAGTAAGTCCTTTAACAACCATTTAAGAGAATATGAAAACAAAACAAAACAAGAAAAAGAAGGGGAAAAAAACACTAGTAAGAAGCCTTATCTAAAAGAGCTTTCACTGCTGTTTAACCAAATTCTACGAACACTGAATTTACTCATCACTTTGTTTACTTTCAGCTATTTTCTCAGCTGAGGAACGCCCATATTGCTCCACATCACATCGTGCTACATCTCAATATTCCCACCGGTCTCATTCTAACCCATCCACAATGCAGCACTTGAAATAAAAACACAAAAGCCTTGACAAAGCCTGAAAGGAAAAAAAAAACAACTTACATCTCCAAAATCTTTGTAGAATTTAATGCCCAGCAGAAAGCTATTTAAAAAGTCTGACACAACCTTTATGCTCTCTCTGATATAACACCAAGCTGCTACAAACCGAAAAATGTGGCTGTCTTAAGGGTTTTTTTTTTTTTCCTGGAATCTGCTGGGGAAATGCATTCACTACCTGTATATATTTCTCGGCCAACAATCCACAGCTCGCACGGTCAACAACACCTCTGTCCTCTTTTTCTCTCCTGCCATTTTTTCTGTTTTGTTTTTGAACGGGCGAGGGGCTTCCTGAAGGATAAACAACCTTTGTGGGGCTTTTTTTTTTTTCTTTTCTTCCCCTCTCCGTCTCCCGAGGCCTCTTCAACCTGCTGCCTGGACCTGTTCACACGTGGCTTCTGTGGCCTCGAACGCAGTTCAGGAAATTCACGAGCTGATTGAATTTTCCCCCTTGAGCAATCCTCTGTTACCCGTGTGCTTTGGTTCACTTTTAAGCGTCAGATTTTTTTTTTAACGTTTACTTTGATATTCTCGGGCAAAAGGGAGATTTATTCCTTTTTTATTTTTTATTCTATTTTTTTTTGTAT